GTATAATAGGCCTATTTATGTTAAAATAATCCTAAGACCGGACTAACAGGCCTGAGAGCCAGAGTGTTTTTCACACTCTAGTTAATCCTAGCCAACTTAGGTTATATTTTGTCTTTGTTTTTGTTAAAATTTCCTTTTATTGTATTGTATGTTATTTCATTGGCTGAATAATGAATGAATGAACACACCACAGACAGACACACTGCCTAACAAACAGACGTACGGATCTCATTGTAATACACCCTTCCCCCACTTTGGGGTGATGGTAATAAAGCGGAAATCTATTAAATGTCGTCTAAAAGTGTGGGATATCGCCTGCCTCCGGGTCTAACACCAATGTGCGGCAAAACAAAGGCATAACTATTTTGATTCTTACCGGTGCAATTACTTGTGCCAGCAAACCCATCATAACACGAGCAGCTGAACGATCCAGGGAAGTTGTCACAATTATGCTCACAGCCTCCATTGTTTATGAAACATTCATCAATATCTGACATTATAACACCATTATGAAAGAATTGTTGATATAAGCTTAATAATATGGTTTTATTATAATTTTACATTGCTTCATTAATGATGATAATAAGGTTTTTGGTACTGTCAGCTCCCTGTTGTGGTAAACATCTAGAGTACGTTGAACAATTAATTACAGATAATATATTATTACGGGTAATATAATTTGACAGAAAAATTTGTACTACTAAGAAATGGTATAAACTGCTACTCTTTTTCAGATCATATTATAAAAACATGTATTGCTCCTCTTTATGGACAACATATGTTTCGTGTCACAAATTTAGTCCTGACATATGAAAAATAGTATTTAGTTAGTAATAGTAATACAGTTATTATGAGGTAATATGAAGAATTAAAAGGAAGGTCCGTTAATAACTTATTTGGTTTTAGTCATGAGAATAAAATCATGTTCCCTGAGGCACTGTTTGAGTAGGTGAGCAATGGACAAAATAAATTATTATAAACAAATTTGATAGTTAAGTTATAATGGTGATCACAGGATGCTACTACTACTGTGTCAGTTTACTATTTACTAGGTAGAGAGAGTCGTCAAATCAGTCTATAAGAATTATCTCTCAATTTTTACATTACTGAAAATTAATGTTATTCAATATTATACAAAAAAAAATACGTTTATAACAATTACAAATAAAGGGAAACTGTAGATTTGTGATTAAAATACTTGTCTTCCAATCCAGATTCTCAGTTAATATCCGGTCACATTAAACGGTCTTTTAATGAAGGGTAGATTTTATAGAATTTTTCTTTGCATACTGTATTAATATGTATTGTAGTTTAAGTTGTTTTTGCTTATGTAGGTAAATGAACTTTTAAATTACGAAACAAAAATTTAAAGGTTCATTTACCTACATAAGCAAAAACAACTTAAACTACAGTACATATTAATACATTATGTTGGTAAATGAACTTTTAAATTACGAAACAAAAATTGAGGGGATAAAAATCACATTTTATGTTTAGTATCCTGCACCCTTAAGACGGTGACACACACAAACCGGCATGTGGCGTTAATCAAATTAATAAGACTTAACTATAACATTGTGTATTAAACGTTTGGTATTGATCGTGATTGATAGAATTTGTTCGTCTCATAACGTTTAAAGGGTTTAAGAAATGATAAAAAGTGGTAATTACCTTTTTCGCATATGTCACCAAAATATGTTTCAGGGCAGTCGCAGTAGTTGGGGCCGGTGCAGCGACCGTTGTTTTCGCATGGTGGTTCACAAACGGCTATTATAAAAATCATTAATACCTTCATGTTATGAATTAACATCGCGACAAGATTTGATTGACAGATAAACCGACTAATCAGCGAGCGTCATTTAGTCACGTGATCAAAAACTTTTTCTCGGACATTTTAATTTCCTTAGGCAGCTGGTTTAAACGCGAACATTACGTGAGCCTAGCCTAGGCCTAGATGTCTATGCTTTGTTATAGATACCCAGATTTACGCGAGCAGTGCGCATCAGTGACTTGACCTTTGCCGACAACAAGGTTGACTGAATGCGGCTTTCCCCTCTTCCTTTAGGAGCGAAATACAGAGGCTTTTACAACAATTTCCCCTCCATGTTCCATGAAATAGATTAACACTATGAATATATGATTCATTTGCATACCGCCTACCCTGAATTCTCTTTCTTAAAAAAAGGTTGATAGCAAAGAAAATCTTCGCCAACTCGGTAAGTCTAGCCGCCATTTTCTAAGAGCGTGGCTTTGCGTCCTTGTCGATGTCAATTGATGTGCATGTATTTACTGATTCAAGCCTCTCACGCATGATTCATCCGAAGATCCTTGGCTGAATATACATGGTGTAAAATGGTAAACATCGTGCTGATTAATCAAACGTTTAAAGTATTATCAAACTGCAGAACTATTATAAAAAGGTGTTCTTAGTGAAATAAAACCGTTGCAAGAAAGTATAATACATACTCCAAGTATTGAAATACACGCCATCTTGTTGAGATTCAATATTTCGACATTAATTATGTCATCATATGGCGTGTATTTCAATACTTGGAGTATGTATTATACTTTCTTATCTGAGATTAATCAGTGGACCTTTCGGTTTTTAAAACCCTTGCATTAACATAAATTCAATTTATGTAATGCAAGGGTTTTAAAAACCTTGCATTACATAAATTCAATTGTTTTAACTATTGAATTTATGTAATGCAAGGTTTTTAAAACCCTTGCATTACATAAATTCAATTGTTTTAACTAACTGACTAAGGTACTTACGTAAACATTCCGTAAGCATCGACAATGCGTACCCAGGAATACATTCGCATTGAAATCCACCGGGAAAGTTATTGCATATCTGGGCACACCCACCATTGTTGTGCCTGCATTCATCAACTAATATCAAAATAAATAACAAAAGCTGGTATATGAGCAAATTTTAAACGATATTGAATAGTCAGTTAAAATAAAATACCTAGTAATGCATTTAAAATTTTACATATGTGTTTAATTCGATTCCAAGTAGCAGGGGGTAAGAATATTATTGTAAAAGTGTTTTGAAAGATGACTTTTAGATTCCCTCCCATTTTAAAATTTTATTTGAGTGAGTATTGCTGGGTATGATAACTAGTCAGGTTCGGTAAAACATCATGAACATATTCGAGATAAAATATATAAACGATTCACTATTTTTTCACAATATAATATATAATTAAATTTTAACTATAAAACACGATATTTGAAGTTTAATCCAATACCTTCGGAAAGAAAACCCTGCAATAGAGTATTTTTGCATTATCTCTTTGTCCATATAGATCCGTCTTTGTATATACACCATTTTATTTGGCCTAATTTGAAACAGCGCCGCCAACGTCAGGAATACGATCTTTTATGCTTGGGGTACAACGATCGCGACCTCGCTATATTTATCCTATTGATTGTTTACATCGTAGTTAATACTTACAGCTCCAAAATCTTATTATACAGTATATTATCAAAATTTTTCACCCATTCTTGACGATGGGCTTGTGGAAACCGATGGAGCTGGTAGGGCTGAATACAACAGGAGCAATCCTTGCGAAAAAATCCCTGGTTGGGACACAACTCGTTTTTCCATTGTTGAAGCTTAAATTGGCTATTACTGCAGCCATTCACCTGGCAAATCTTTCTTGCACCTTTTCCACTCATTCTTTTATTCCGGAGAATAATGGCTTAAAGTATTTCACAAAAGAATTTAACAACAAAAGAAAACAATCGCTTCGCTACTCTACTTCACAGTAACTGTACTGTATGTAAAAGCATAGGCACTTCCGGGTATCACTGGTACACCGCGGTGTCGTTGTACCCCAGGCAAGGTTGCCAGGTTAACGAAAGTTTTCTATCCAATTATCGCGAAAATGGTGTATAATGATCACATGTAAAACTTACTATCACTGCAGTCGGCGCCGACATAATCGTCCTCACACTCACAGTAATCTGGAGACTTGCACTCGCCGTGAACACATGGTGGATGACAAGCAGCTATAGAAATAACGTAACGTAACAGTCTTTTAGTGCCTAATTGACTTAAATGGTCTGGGATAATCATAATACTGATGCACAAACTCAGTAGAAATTAAAAAGAGGTAGTAAAATGAATGTAACACAATATATAAAACCAGCAACGAAACGATGTACCAGACACAGTTAGGCACATAATCCTGGTTTCCATGAAATAGCTACGGTACACTGTCGTTATAGTGTTTTCACTGCAATGGCTGCACTGCGCGTCTGTCCGTCGCAATTCGACTGACTAATCAGCGTCGCCGATATAATATATTATGTCGGCAATAGCATGTAATGATTTTATGGAAAAAAGGCTTGTTTTTCTTACCTTCGCAATGCCCATTTACCTCATCGTACCCCATATAACATTGGCAATAGTAGCTTCCTTCAGTGTTTATACAGAGATGTTGACACCCACCGTTGTTGTCATTACATTCATAAATGTCTGTAAATGAGAAAGATAAAAATAATAAAAATATTGTTTAGAACAAAGCTAAAACTTCAATATTATTGGTTAGTCATGCTTAAAAATTAAGTACGCATGTTTAACAATCACCTTTAGTCAGGAGCTAAATGCTACACTCAAGGGAACTAAAGCTAAGTCTTAGATTGTTTATGGTATATGTTAATGAGAAGAAGGAAGCCTAGAAAGCCAGTTTTGTCTTGCTATCAACTTTATTGTTATCATCTGATTTTCAAGCCTGACCCAAGCTTTGTTGATGGTCCTCAAGTACATAGATATGGTAACTTTAAATTTGAGCCTATGTTCTCAAATTTTCAACGGTGATGATGACTCATGTTTTTATGGATTTCAAGATGAGACAACCACGAACACATTTCTAGTCAGCATTCTTGCTCCATTTGCATAAAACACCTCTGATAAAAACAACAGATGTATCCAACCAAACACCTAGCCACGGGGATCAGAATGATGTATCCTATTGTGAAGCTGATAAAAACAGGCCCACCCAACATTGTCCACCCCACTGCCCACCCTACTTTAACAATAGTATATTCCATTTTGGGTTGTTTTCGTCCAGGTGGTTTTCGTCCTGGGTGGTTTATGCCCTACATTCTTTTTAGAAATTGTACAACCAAAATGTGGGAGCTATAAATATTTTAATGATAATACTTTCATTCTTGATATGGAATCTGTTAAATGGGGCGATATAGCACACCATTACAACATTGATGATGCACTTGATGATTTTAAATCTAAATTTCTTAATATTGCTAACCGGCACGCACCACTTAAAAAAAAAAGAGTTCGTCACAAGGAATCCCCGTGGTTCACAGATGAACTGATTAATGAAATGCGCAAAAGAGGTTTGTTTAAAAAGAAGGCAAGCAAGGCAAATACAATGGACTTATGGCGAGAATTTAAAATTCAAAGAAACAAGGTTAATTCCATGATTAAAAAATAAAAAATGACTATTTTTTTCTGAGCAATTAAATACAAATAACGCTAAGAAAATGTGGGAAAGCCCAAGAAACATTGTATCTAGTAAATGTAGGAACACTGAAATAAATAATATTAAGACAGAGGTTTATGCACATTATAGGATGATGAGGATGATGATGATGAAGAAGACAGAAAAGAGAATAAAATCAAATCTCTTTGACATTTCAAATATACTGAATGAATGTTTTTCTACTGTGGGACCTAAATTGGCAGAAAATACTTCCCAAGAGAAAAGATGGAGATTAGAATTGATTAATTTAATTCAGTCTAGTTGATGAAGAATATATTTATATGCAAATTCATAAATTATCAGCTAAAAAAGCAACAGGAAATGACAAAATACCAAGTAAACTAATCAAATTAGCAATCAACTCCATTTTAGCAAAATCACTTAGATTATTAATTTATCACTTACCACAGGATCTTTTCCCCAAAAATGAAAAAGTGCTAGAATTTGCCCGGTGTTCCAAGGTGGTTGTAATACTGAGCCATATAACTATCGACAAAAATCGATACTACCAATTTTTTCTAAAATTCTTGAACGCACTGTATTTGATCAACTATATCCTTATCTCAATTCACACTCACTGATTTTTGAAAAACAATCTGGCTTTAAACCATACTTGAATGCCCTGCCCTCTTGAATGTAACGGAAGTCTGGCCTGATGCGATAGACAATGGGAAGTATGTTGGCCTTATAATGTTGGATTTGAAAAAGGCTTTTGACATTGTTAATCATTATATCCTTATCAAAAAATTAAATAATTTTAACATAAATAGACATGTAATAGCCTGGTTCAAAAGTTACCTATCAGGACGTATTCACACCACAAATGTAAATGGTGTATCTTTAAAGCAATGTCAAAGCATTTGTGGCATACCCCAGGGATATATATTAGGTCCACTTTTATTCTTGTTATATGTAAATAATCTACCTAACATTGTTAAGCATATGACATTGCCCTCTATTATAATTCAAAAGATGTTAATGAAGTAATTAACAAAATCAATTTTGACCTTGGAAATGTAAACAAATGGCTATCCAATAATAGATAAAGTTTGAATACTGAATTAATGTTTATTGGTACACATCATAAATTATCTCGATTATCAAACCTTGACTTAAATGTTCATATTAATGGTACCCGTCTTCAAAGAGAAACTCATTGTAAACATTTAGGTATAATGATCGATGAAACTCTATCATGGAATAAACATGTAGATTATACTAGGACTAAAATAGAAGATTATTTATATTAAGATCTTTGAAACGTTTTGGTTTCAATTCTGATGAACTCAAAGTTGTTTACACTGGTTACATTAGACCTATAGTGGAATATTCTGACTCAGTTTGGCACTCTGGTCTCACTGTCAAACAAAGCAATAATATTGAGAGTATACAAAAAAGAGCATGTAGAATTATACTAGGGAAAAATAATTATACTTCTTATAAGAATGCTTTAATATCTTGTGAACTTGACTCCCTACTTGATAGGAGGGTTTGTCACTGTCGTAAGTTTGCTCCTGGTCTTTTAAATCTGATCGTACAAGTGATCTTTCCCCCATCCCCTCCAGACACGAGCGTCATGGGAGAATCTTCGTAATTCTTCTATTACCAATTAGAATCAAACGATTTAGTAACAGTCCTATACCCTATTTTTGTTAACTTACTCAATTTCAACATTACTTTAGCACAGTTCATAACTATAATGGTATATTTGTTAAGTTGTTTGATGACTCTGAATCCCATCATGACTTGAATGATGATATTGATAATAATAGTCACAATAATAATAATAATAAAAGCTATCATATTTATATTGAAATTTGGACCCACATCTTCCTGTTTGTTTTACATTTTTATATGTCTTTTTTTATGACCTTTTTATATTTTTTGTCTTATATGTTTTTACTTGTAATTTTACATGCAATTTGGCCTCCGGGCCATGATATGTGGAATTTTATAATAAACTGAATTGAATTGAATTTAATTGAAAAGTTCTTCCAGGCTTGTTCTACCTAAAGAAATCAAGCTACTTGCTCCCAATCCCTTTACAATAAATGCTGTATAAAGCTATAATAGCCTCTTATTTTGATTACTGCAATATTGTATGGGGTATGGGGTAGATTTAACAAAACATTAAGCAATAAATTACAAGTATTACAGAACAGAGCAGCTAAAATAATAACAAAAAAAACGAAAATATGATTCTGGTACACAAGCACTTGAAAAACTTAAATGGTCCAATCCTGAACAAAAACTTACCTTCAATGAGAAAGTAATGATGTACAAAATAATGAATGGCTCTATATAAGAAATAAATTTTCACAAAAGCCACCAGCATATAATACTAGATCTGCAAATAACCTGTACATAGATAAACCTAATACAGAGTATAAGAAAAAGAGTATCGTGGTGCTGACGTGTGGAACAATATTGATGAGACCAAAAATAGTACAACCCATTAAATTTCTAAAAAGATTATTTCAACATAATTTTTAAGCAGGGGTGCCGCCAGCGGGGGGGGGGGGGGGCG